TATCGATATTGCGATATTGATGGGCGCGCTTATCCGTAGGTATTCTCCACCGCATTCTCCCTGGATTTACGTTGGATATTTTCCGCGCGTAATTAATTCGACCTAGTTTAATATCACATCGTTCACTTACCTGGAGATTGGGTGGGCAATGGTCGAGAAGCTCCAGCATGTGCCTGATGTTCTGTGCGTCCTGTATCACGAAATTCAGCTCCATGTCGAATTCACCGCCTACGAGCTGAAAAAAAATAACTCGTTGAAAACATTGATGTGCAACTATGTAATCCGTAGAGTACTTTACTCGTAACAATGCTGACAAACAAAGTTCATTCTAACAGCATGTACATTATTGGCTTTTCTGTGTCGAAATTTATGAGATAGTCATAAATAGTAACTCTGGACGCAAAATAGATCGGAAGTTCCAGAGGGAGATATATGTATGTACCGTCAGTATTTAATCGCGGAAATGTTGCTAACTGAAAGTCTCATCGTTCGGCACCCGGATGTACGTCAAACGAATGATTACGTAACACTATTCCGTTACATCCAAATCCGGATATAGTTCACGCGCAACAAATAATATCATTTTGACAAGCAATCGTTGATTACTTTATATCAGTATTATTAATATTAATTGGTAGGTGCACATACTTTCCAAATTCGAATGCAATATCGCTTTTGTACCTATTGAATTTCTTGGTTCATTAAATATGTTTCATGTCCAACGTTGAAAAACAATATCCGATTTACGCATAAAATGAATTAATATCGGCATTTTATAATATATGAGCGAGTGAAATTTGCATTGGATTATACATATATTACATCTTTTTAAGAGCATTACAGTATCGCTCGTTATTGTGCATAAAAAATTAATAAAGCCACTCCCAATTCACGTTTTCATTCGTCCAAAAATCTATGTAATATATGTATTTATTATGCATAATCTACATTGGACGATTCGAGATATTTGGCGAAACTGTACGTATAGTTTTTTAAACTGGCCGTATTAGTAACGATGTATTTTTAGGGATATTTCAAACGCTGCAGACAAAACATTTTGGACACGAAAAGTTTACGGGCTATGTCCGTTTGTGGTTCTTCTTCTTCTTACTGGGACGACTTATATATAGCCGAACCGGAAGTGCCACCTCTGCGGAGAGAGTGTAATTTCCGGAGAAGTATCTCGCGCTCATCCTCTGCGTTTCTCCTCTCTCTATCTCCTTTCCTTGCTTCGTTTTCTTCCAAACCGATATCGATCATGAATTCCTTACGGCCATATCTGTATCTACAGGCGAGGTCATGACCAATTTTTACGAGCGTCGATAGCTCGTAAAAATTCATGACTTACGCAGCACCGTTTATGAAACAGACTGTGCCGACAATTGAAAGTGGAGCTTATCCCGGTTCAACAATTCCGATCAAATGGCACATCAGATCTTAACTTTACTCTCCGTTTCCGAGGAGTTGCATTGTAAGCTCGGAGATTGGCCAGAAAAAGCAAAGAGTGCGAAATGCATCGGGTTTCGTTCTAAATTCCGAAAGAATATTTCTGAACTATTCCTCTGCGAAACACGTAAGGGCGAAGGTAAACTTTCCGCAAGAAGGAATGTTACTCTTTTACCAAACTTTGCAACTAATACCGCATTTGGCGTCGGTAAAACGTAAAACCAATGTTGGGAAAATAGAATTGTTACTGAGGCGCCGTGTCCGATAATGGCATGCTCGGACTTTCTTGCTTTCGCACTTTTACGGTTTACCAAAGCGTTCGATAAGCTCATGTTGCACGTAATAGAGATGACAAAGTTTGTCATTCGATCTAGCTCTCGAAATTAAAAGCGGTAGTAATTTCAATAAACATTGCGTTTCACTTGATTCTACATAAATCATTTCTGTGAACGGATAATCTGACGACGACTGTATATGACTATGATGGTAAAATCAGGTAACATAATATTTGTGATCGATAGAATGTTAGCGTTACCGAACGATCTGTACAAAATTAAATTAAAATTTTATCATAAAATAAATTTATGAGTCGAATTGAAATATATTTTATATCGAATTATCCTTGATGTTATTGATAAAGAAATCATTCGCTTTTCGGCATATCTCTTGTGATATTAATAACATTTTATAATTAATATTAATAGAATTTTGATATTAATAATATTAATATTAATAGAATTCCGCTACAGTTCTGTACATCTCCGACGTTTACACGAATAATTACATGAGATTAGATTGCTATAAAGGGAGAAACAGAATTTTCAAAGTACTACCGCTTGGCGTGCTTCCAACTATTTACACGCAATTACAAACTTGCATATGCGATGCACTGAGGACATGGAGAATGTCTGGAATTTAATTTAATTCTTTTTTATATTACATATGCTGCTGGCTCTCCAGTTATCAAAAATTAAAATCGTTTAAAATAGCGTATTATTTAATCATACATTTTTATTAATTTAAATATCTCGCAATTACGACCAATTTATATGTATAGCGATAACACTTTCTATAAAAAATGAAATTTTTGTCAGAAAAAATTAATCAGAAATTTTATATGTAATCAATTTGAAAATTGCACCCTTGTCAGTATATGAAAAGGCTGAACTAGATAGAGATAAATAGATAGATAAGTAGATAGATAGATAGATAGATAGGTAGATGGGTAGATAGATAAATATAATGGATAGAGCGTCTATTACGATTTTAGGATGAACTCTCTAAGAACTTATGCAAAAATATATTGTGGCAACGAAGAAAAAATAAAATAACAAAATTTAAATAGGTAAAACAGAGAAAGAGAGAGAGAGAGAGAGAGAGAGAGAGAGAAACATGATGTATAAATTAAAGTTTATATTGTCACGTATCAGTCATTTGCGAAAATCATTGATCCCTTGAAGAAAATAAATTTTTTCATAAAAGAGAAGGGAGGAAGAAAGATAAAGCATATTATTGCCGATAAAGAGGGTTCAATTCTTTCAAAGCAATTTTTCGAACCCATATCACTTGCGCGAATCTTAACAGCCAATGCCGCGCCGTGCCGAGAATCGAAAGAATAATCGAGCGACATTAAAAGATATCTCGATCCGCAGTTCGATCATCGTCGTACCATCGCATTGGATCGCTTTTTTCGCGAGAAAAAGTAATTTTTTATAAAAATAAGTAATTTTATTTATATTCCTTTGTGATTTGACTCTGGAACTTAGAAATTAAACGATACAAATGTATTCATATGTAAAGTATTCCTATACTATAATACAATACTACATCTACTTTTTTATTATTTCAAGTCTTTGCATGTGAATCACTCATATTCTTCTTCAAGTTTAGTCATTCCTTTTTGGCTCTATATTCCTATTTTACGATGCACAAACGAGATACGTAATGCTACGTAATGCTTTCGTGTGCTAAATCCAAATAACGTATAGATATATACGTTATAGATATATACAACGAAGAGGTGGGCAAACGAAAAGTGAGTCCCAACCGGTGAATTAAGGTCGGCTGGCAGAGTTAACCGCTAATTAGATACCACTCGCTTTTACACCTACATATTCCTTTGACAAAAACAGTTACGCAAAGCCCAGCGCACGTCTAACTTGCATATTCGACACTGAGATCCATTAAGGAGTTCGAAACTTACAAAACTGAATATTTAAAATCATTTTAAATTGGCAATAATGTTATTTAATAAGCCTTTTTTAGTACTATTTTGGAATGAAAAGATTTCTAAGCCTTTCTACAAGCAGAATATTATACGCATTATTCGCATTATTATCCAGCTATTTTACATACTAAAATATATGATGACAATATAATCAGTGAGAATTAGTATGTGCAGTTATTTCCAATTAATTTAGTATTCTGCTATATCGAAATTTAATAATATAACTTGAAACTCTCCTTATACAATAGATTGTTAAACGAACTTTATTATAGTGCGCTTTACTTTATGATGTTATAATTATCGATGCAGAATGCGCAAATAGATTTTATTGGAAAATCGATTTGCTATTGAAAGTCAGTCCTTATTTGCGGTGTGCAAAGCACATGCGAATGCATTCGTGCTGTTTGTATGAAAAGTCTTTATCGAGTTACTGCAGAAACAAATTCTGTTTGTGAAATTTTAGATATCCTCCATTTTCTCAGAAAATGCATTTTCCTTGATTTCATATATTTGTACATTTTTTATCTTAATTCATCCTTAAATGTGAGAGTGAAAGATCTTGATGCGAGAAGATGATACATTCATTAATTTGTTTTAAAATTAGTGAAAATAATGTAATTAATATAATTAAAAATGTAATGTAAGTATAATGGCAAGTTTATATATGTATATGTACACGAAAAGAATAGTTTTGTTGAAGTACAAATTTAATTATGTGTACAGATT